TTATTGTATAAATAAATGAATTCTAACAGTGCTTCGTTCTAAGACTCTTCACTACTTAATATCAACCAAGTACAAAAGAGGTAACCCGTGGTTTGAAGGGAAGAAGGGAGAAGAGAAAAACTAAAAATGGGTTGAGATTAATGTGTAGGGGGAAGTTCTGGGGCCCATCCTGGCCCATGAGCTCTGTACCCTTCCCTTTCTTCCATCACATCTGGTCCCCAGGATCCACTCTCGCAGACTTCACTACCTGCAGTGCCTAGGAGCTATGCCACCAGAGATGGTTTAAATTTAAACCTAAATTTGTATGGCTTAATGGCTCTACCCTGCAGTTCTGCTCCCTGCTTAAACAAAATGCAACACCCTCTTGGTTTCTCCTGCCCTGCTGCTCTCCCAGGCTGGAGAGACGTCACTATTCCCCCAGGCCTAGGGCTGGGACATTCTACCTGCTGAGTGCAGAGCAGCTGGTGAACTCACGACCAGCCAGGCTTCACTCAGCCCTGACAGACAAGCATCAATACCATGCCCTACCCCCTGCAAACTGGCCTTGGTTCCTGGCTATTGGCCATTATCCTAGATTTCTCCCAGCATGCCAGACACCTGGATACATGTGGAGGGTTAATGGTGTAGGAAATAAGGAATCAGTGTAGGGATGTATGATGTACAATGAAACACGGAAACTAAGTAGGGATTTTGAACAATGTAGTGATGCATGTATAGTGTAACTCATTCTGTATGTGGAGGAAGGGTAAGAGGACACTCCATTCTCTTGTGAATGGTTAACAGGCCATCCACGGGCTGGTCAGATAAAGGCACTCGCTGTGTAAGGTTGTCAGTGTGAGTGCCATCCACAGAAGTCACACCTGGTAGCAGAGCATGTATGTACCTATATTCACACACGTGCACAAACGTGCACACACGCACGCACAAATAATAACCACACTAATACTTCTGGTAGTAGTAATACATATTCTAGTAAAGATTTAATCCATGAACATTGACTCAACCATATTAACACACACTTAGAGGCTCTTTGAACTGTAATTCTGGGTAACAACCCAAAGGCTGTGTGCGAGAACACTTTTTAAGTAAACTATTCTGCCTTTTAGAGAAAGCATCAAACGTTCATTAGGTTAATATCCATGGTATAATTTCAAGTCAAAAGATCCACATTGAAAGGGTCCCTAGGACACTGGGGAGAATGTGGGAAATTATAATTACACTGCTAACTCTGCCACAGGGAAAGTGTACATCGATTGGGTAATCAATAATCAATATTGCACAAACAGTAGTTAACCAACAAATATTAGCTATGGAAGTGGATGACGAAATTAATCTTGTGTAGGTGGAAATTGACAGCCAGTATGTGACAGAAAATGATTATGACTTAATTCCTCTTAAGCATGGACTTGGTATTTACTTAACATGAACTGTCTTGACACACAAAATGGTCATTAGTAACAAACCAGAATTAGAAATTTTGTGCAGGTAGAACTGTTGAGCAACTTAAGAAAAGCTGCTGCTAATCTAGGACCACTAAATATTTTATTCCTATTTGGACACACCTAGAAATTATAAAAAATGTATAAAAAGCAAAAATAATTTGGGGGTAGGGAAGGTCCAAAGAATGTGTCTCATTTTCATTCCAGGCGAGTGGCTCTCCATGTATTTCATCCCAGGCTGAGTGTTAAGTTTTCATTTGGCAATGCTTACCTACTCTCAACCTGGCATAGAGTCCTCAAGGATAACGTATAGAGTTGGAATATTAATACAAATAAAAGTGTTTCATAAAGAGTTTTTTATCATAGATGCAGAAATGATTAAAATGACAAATAGATAATGATGGGAAAAGACATTAATTTGCACTATTAGGAACTGTCACTCAAAATATATTATGCTTCAGGTGCTTTCACAGACAAATATGCAAGAAAATAGAAAATCCTGTAGACAACACCCTGGACAGTTTCAATCATGAGGCTCTGCTTCATGTTAGTTACTGTAGAAATGGAACAGACATTATCTAAAGCCAGAGGTTATAAAGTTTGTTCTTGTTTATTATATAATCTCCTGATGGAGCTGAGAAATTAGTTCTTTAATTCTAGTGGTTTCTTCCTACTAATATACTTTTCCATAAGAATTAAGGCTGTGCATGATGACTTCTTTTGTATTACATGTTCCAAAATACCGGTGTGTAGAACCTTATGCATACAAGACATCCTTATTGCAGGTGACTGAGCATGGACTGTAATGTTTTCAAAGACTGATTGACTTTCAGATACAAGAAAAGACATATGAACCTGAGCACAACCCAAGGGTAGCATAAGATGGTAATGGACTTGTTCTCTGCAGATTTGCTTTTTCTATCTATGGACAGATTCTACGAATACCAGGGAAATGAATGAGAGGAGGCAAATACATGCAGTGATGTAGATGATGCTTTTCTTAACTTATTTTCAAGAGTCTCAATCTGCTTTGATAATCTGAAAGGACACATAATGCTTGTTCTTTATTGGATAATTGGAAGCTCTTAATTACAAACAGCAATGAGAGGATCTCAAAGATTGGTTATAGGATAGGAAAGTCAAAATCCAGTGCAGAGAGCTCAGAATGTTCCTTTTGTTTCATTTTTTGAATAAAACCTTCGAAAAACCAAGTTTGTACTTGAAAACAATTTTGGTAATTCTAGAAGTATATGAATGAATTTAAAATTATTGATAACCCGTTTTAAGGGGAAAACAGTACTGTCTTAAAAACTTGTAATTTGCCTTTACGATACCTCTGAGTTCCTAGATTTATGGTTCAGAAACTGTAAATCCTGATGAATTTGGGAGTCATGTAGAAAAAGACAATAAAACTTATATATTTGGGACACAGAAAATTGAGTCTGTCTAACTGTCATACTACTGCTTAGATGTACCTTCTTCACTAGGCTGGAAACACCATAAAGAGTGTAGACAGTCTCTAGAGCCAATTATTTTTCCTCACACCAGCCATGCATATGAACATTTAAACAAAGCCACTTGAGAACAGAAAAGTGATCATTATGGCAGGTGTATACATGCAGCTCATTGCTCACTCGACCTTCTCTCCTCTTCCTCTACAGTAAGCAGAATAATTGTTTTTGATGAGCATATTGCTCCTAAAACCAAAAATTACTAGGAATGCTAGGAATGAATATCTTACCAAAGTCAGTATAATGTGATATTTAAGGGAAATCTGCTTAAAGATAAAAGAAAATCGACTCATCCCTGAAGATAACAGTTTCTGCTTTTTTTATCCATCCTTGTCCACACTTTATTTATGATAGCTTCCAGCACCAACAGTGTTTAAAACCTTGGGGTATTGAAGCAGAAAGCTAGGAGAGGAGAACAGAAAAGTGTGTAAGGCTTGATGATACCATGGATTACCATGCAACCAATCCAGGGTATCTGCAGAATGTGTTTATGGGAAACACAAATGCATCTCTAATCTTTAAAGTATAAGTGTTTGGGGGCTCTTCTCCATTATGAGTAGCTAAAGTGATTTCAACTAATAAAATTGGTTGACTCGTTCTTTAAAAATAATTAAAAGCAATAAATGAATCATCTAACTAATTTGTTGCCACGAGTTGATAAATGTACTCGTGCAAACTCCATTTTAAAATTACACTTTACCTATTAGTCAGGTCTCCTAAAATACTTGTGGGTCTTTGAAGAAAATCACTCCTATGGACAATTTGTCTTAAGAATGTTTCTTCATACACTGTACTGGGTGGGAGCGCAGATTCCTTAGGGCAAGATTCCAAGCCCTAAGGAAAATTTTCCCTTCTGATCTCTAAAACTACAGTAAAATGTACAATGGAAAAAAAATTCTGTAGAGTTTATTTTTAAAAATAATTTGTGGAAGACAAAATAAACAGTTATTAATCCCCTACTCTTCTATCTCATAGCAGACATTCTTGCTAAATCATCACAACACTTTAGAAAGGGAATGCCACTCATGTTGTATTTTGGGGAAGGCATGGGGTGTTAAGTAGCTCTTTCATGTTGTTTATACAATACCCAACTTCAATCCCACACTTTCGCATGCTAATATAGGACATGCACTGACATGTGACAGAATAGGCAGCATTTTCAACTTTAAAGAGTTTTTTCATCATTCCAAATTCAAAAGGTTCCATTAAAATTGAACAATGATATTTTTATTTCTAAGAAAAAGGTATACTAGGATCTTCTGTTAAGGCCAGGACATATTTAAATGCCTTAAAGCAATGCACAGTCCTACCTACTACCTGCCAACTATGTGAGAAAGAAAACCAATATCAAAACAGGGAGGAGGGAGGGGATGGGGGGAAAGAGAGAGACTAAGCCAATACTGAACATCTGGATCTACTGTGACAATGACCCTACCCTAACAGTCTCTCCCCGGCATAGTATACATACTGCACCTACAAAAGCATTTTTATTCCCAACCTGGAAAAAAAAAACCATAGTTGCTGTGGATTCTAGCATATAAAATTCTGCAATGTGGGAATCTCTCCCTCTCCTTTCACTTTGAAGACTTTCGCTTTCTTCTCTGACCTAACACAAAAAGTAAAGCATCAAAAGTCATTTCTTTTATAGTTTTCCAAAGAAGTGGATGAGATATTAAGATCTCACGGCACAATGTCATGAAAAGCAAAACCAAGCAATTATGATTAAAAAGAAAAGAAGACGGAGCCTCCAAACATACTGGCATCTTAGCATTCATATTAGCACCAACGCTCATCTTCTATGTGTGTGCTAATGTCAAGAGATTATAGCCTCCGTGTGTGTCCCTTACATCAGAGATGACAAGAAGAAAAAACAGTTAAGAGTAATTTTTCAAACCAGAGCATTTCCATTACAAATATTTTCTGGGATGCTAGTTTTGCAGTTAGTAACTATAGCAAAATTAGCTTGCTGTAAGTATTAGAGAGCTTGCTAATCATCTTCTCGTTAATATAACAAAAATGGATTTGAAGTTAAGTCAAGTTCAGGACTTACCACCTCCTCCTCCAAGAAGACTGGCATTTGCTGTTAAGGAAAAGAAAAGATATTGTACTTTAAAACATATAGGAAACACAGTGTAGCAGAACAGTTGAAACAGAAACTAGTAATGATCATGTATCTTACTTGAAGACATATATAGAATATATGGATTTTCATACAAAGACGTCGTCACTGAAAATTATTGTTTCCTTATTTTATCTCCTTTTTCTCTTCAAATACCTATGTTCATATGTTTCCTTGTAACAAAGTTAAGTACACATATAAATTGCTATGTTCATATGTTTTCTTGTAACCAAGTTAAGTACATACACTGTGTGTGTGTGTGTGTGTGTGTGTGTGTGTGTGTGTGTGTGGCTATATTCAGATATTTCCTTGTAACCAAATTGCAAGTACAAACACACAAACACATATATGTCTATGATCATATGTTTCTTTGTAAACAAGGAAAGCACATATTTAAAGTTTTTTATTCCTCATCTGTATCTAAATTGATCTTCTGAGTTTTCGATTTTATAAAATGTAGATACAACAAAGCTACTTAGGCAATTTCAGTGATTTAAACGGACAATGTAACAAGAAAATATAATGATAATTTAAGCTAAATTAACCATCATCAAACAAAACAATCTCTAGAAATTTTGCTGCAATAAGAAGTCAAAATTCACAGATCTGGAGAGGACAATAATCAACTTTATATGGAAAAAAAAAATCCAGGATAGCCAAAACAATCCTATACAATAAAGGATCTTCTGGAGGCATTACCATCCCTGACATCAAACTCTATTACAGAGCTACAGTAATGAAAACAGTGTGGTACTGGCATAAAAACAGAGAAGTCGACCAATGGAATCATATAGAAGACCCGGATTTTATCCCACAAACCTATGAACACCTCATTTTTGATAAAGGAGCTAAAAGTATACAATGGAAGAAAGAAAGCATCTTCAACAAATGGTGCTGGCACAACTGGATGTCATCCTGTAGAAGAATGAAAATAGACCCTTATCTATCACCGTGCACAAAACTCAAGTCCAAATGGATTAAAGACCTCAATATCAGCCCGAACACACTGAACCTGATAGAAGAGAAAGTGGGAAGTACCCTACAGGAGATGGGCACAGGAGATCGCTTCCTATGTATAACCCCAGAAGCACAGACATTAAGGGCAACATTGAATAAATGGGACATACTTAAACTGAGAAGCTTCTGTAAAGCAAAGGACATAGTCACTAAGACACAAAGGCAACATACTGACTGGGAGAAGATCTTCACCAACCCCACAACAGACAAAGGTCTGATCTCCAAAATATATAGAGAACTCAAGAAACTAGACTTTAAAATGCTAATTAACCCAATTAAAAAATGGGGCACTGAACTGAACAGAGAATTCTCAGCAGAGGAAGTTCAAATGGCCAAAAGACACTTAAAGTCGTGCTCAACTTCCTTAGCAATCAGGGAAATGCAAATCAAAACAACTTTGAGATATCATCTTATACCTGTCAGATGGCTAAAGTCAAAAACACCAAGGATAACCCTTGCTGGAGAGGCTGTGGAGGAACGGGTACCCTCATCCATTGCTGGTGGAAATGCAATCTTGTGCAACCACTGTGGAAGTCAGTGTTTCGGTTTCTCAGGAAATTCGGGATCAACTTACCCCTGGACCCAGCAATACCACTCCTGGGAATATACCCAAGAGATGCCCTTTCATATGACAAAAGCATTTGTTCAACTATGTTCATAGCAGTATTATTTGTAATAGCCAGAACCTGGAAACAACCTAGATGCCCTTCAATGGAAGAATGGATGAAGAAAGTATGGAATATATACATGCTAGAGTACTACGCTGCGGTAAAAAACAATGACTTCTCGAATTTTGCATGCAAATGGATGGAAATAGAAAACACTATCCTGAGTGAGGTGTCCCAGACCCAAACAGATGAACATGGGATGTACTCGCTCATAATTGGTTTCTCGCCATTAATAAGAGCCACGGAGTCTACAATAGGTGAACCTAAAGAAGCTAAGTAAGAAGGTGAACCCAAGGAAAAACATATAGTTATCCTCTTGGCTAAGGGAAGTAGACCAAATTGCCGGGGAGAAAATTAGGATCTTGGGGGTGGGGTGGGATGGGGGTAAGGTGAGATGAGGAGAGAAAAGGTAGAAGGGAAGGAGGGGGGACTTGGGGAATCAGGAGAATTGGGATAAAGGAAAGGTGGATAGGGGAGCACGGAACCACAATTCTTAGTTAAGGGAGCCACTTTAGGGTGGGCAAGAGATTTGACCCTAGAGGGGCTCCCAAGTGCCCAAGATGAGGTTCCCAGTTAGTTCCTTGGGCAGCTGAGGATTGGGAACCTGAAATGACCCTATCCTAGAGCAATACTGACGAATATCTTGCATACCATCATAGAACCTTCATCTGGTGATGGATAGAGATAGAGACAGAGACCCACACATGAGCACTGGAGTGAACTCCCAAGGTCCCAATGAGGAGCAGAAGGAGGGAGAACATGAGCAAAGAAGTCGGGACCACGAGGCGTGCACCCACCCACTGAGACAGTGGAGCTGATCTACTGGGAGCTCACCAAGGCCAGCTGGACTGTGATCGAAAAAGCATGGGATAAAACCGGACCCTCTGAACATGGCGAACAATGAGGGCTGATGAGACGCCAAGGACAATGGCACGGGGGTTTGATCCTACTTAATGTGCTGGCTTTGTGGAAGCCTAGCCAGTTTGGATGTTCACCTTCCTAGATATGGACGGAGGGGGGAGGACCTAGGACTTACCACAGGGCAGGGAACCCGGACTGCTCTGTGGACTGGGGAGGGAGGGGGAGAGGAGTGGGGGAGGGGGAGAAGGGTGGGAGGAGGGGGAGAAGGGTGGGAGGAGGGGGAGGGAAATGGGAGGCTGGGAGGAGGTGGAAACTTGTTTTTTGTTTATGTTTTTTTTCTTCTTTTCTTAATAAAAAAAAGAAACAAAAAAAAGAAGTCAAACTTTACTAAACCAACAGATTTATTTTTTAGACTATTTGGGAGAACAATAGAAACATTAAATACTGATATGTGAATTCTCACCTATTTATTCAGAAATTTAGCCTATGTATTCCTGGAAGGCAAAAAAATATAAGATAATTCTAAGGAATTAATATTACAAAGGATATTTATATATGTAAGGCTAAGGGAATACAGTGAGAGCGGGGACAGAAAGAGTCCAAGAGCCAGATGGGAAAGAGACAGGCTAAGAAATGCTATCTTTTAGGCAAGACAGAGACATTGCAATCATGAACCCACAACTGCAGGTTGTCAATATACTGCATTGAGCTTTATTTCATACACTTACAAATCATTGGCACTGTTTATGCATGTTTTATAAAAGATTTTTCAGCATTATAAAAGCAGGAGGCAACCACAAGTTAACAAAAACTTAATAAATTATTTAGGAAAGAGGAGTCTTTTGGTTGAATTTTTGTGTGCATTTCATGAAATCATGCATTGTCAAAACGTTAGAGAAGTATAAATCATTAGTATTAGTGCTTCAATCAATAAATAATGGATCATGTGCAAGACATGTGCCCATATTCACAGGTCAATTAATTAGACTAAATGTTTGATGATGTACTGCTACTCCAATACTAAAGAGAAAATCATAAAAACACATAGACACAAATGCCTTAGGAGGTACTTTCAATATGTCAATATCAGATCATCAAACTCTGTCTTCTGTAACCTTCTAAGTATAGAACTGTCTAACCATGACTCTCCCTTTCCCCTCAGACCTTTCTCAAAAACACAAGCAGAGTAGAGGTGCTACTAACCAATCAGAAACTGAACTTCCTTCTGATATCATCCTACCACTTACATTTCCAAACCCCTCTGTTGTCATACCAAAAAGGTATTGTATTTACACAAACACTATCTAGAGTTTAATATTGTGCCCCAGATCCAGCTTGTGACTACTAACAAGGTCATTTTGTTGCAGAGCCTAAAAACAATACTGAAAATTCTCATTTGTCAACTCCTTCCTGGTAGGTGGATTCCATGACCAAATCATATCTCTTGGTTACTCTAGCCATTCCCTCAAATCTTACAGCATTTTTAAAACCACATGGTATTTTGCACACCTGCTTTCCACACTGTTTGACTGAGAATTATCTGCCTGTGGATTTTCAAGGCTCCTGACATTCCATCTGCTGTCTTCCAATTTTCAGACACTCATTCATTAGAAAAAAAATATACCTAACAACAAATAACAACAAAAATAAGCAATAACTCTTTACTGAACACATCAAGCCGAGGAGCACAACAATGTGTTGTCGTCTATTTTGGTCCACCATTCATCAATAAAGGTGGAGGTGGTGTGTTTCCAGAGCCCCACCCAGAGCCCATCTGTTTAACCAGGCACTTTTCCAGTGGATTGAGTAGGAGTAGGTGTAGGATTTAGGCTTTCCATCCTTGCCAACCATCAAGTCATTTTATATCAATGTGGCTCATGTCTAGATGAGGCTATCTTTAACACAAATATAAAAGTAATTTTCTTCAGTAAAATTGCCAAAAATAGGCAAAGTGACTTCTAATATGGCATTGCCCCCATAAAGCACCTCAATTACTATCCAGACTCACTAGGCAGACAAATTAATATTTCTTACATTTCAAGGAAAGAAAATGATTTTTGTGGGTTCAAAGTTAATTTCTTAACTATTTATAATGAATTAATACATATCCCAATTAGATTAAAAGTTCCTTGAAAATAAGATTTGAACTTACTAGTTTGTTCTGTATCAAATCATTTCTAAATACATGTTTTAAATTGTGAGATAACTGATGAGCTTAGCCAATTCTCTTTTCATATAAGAAGTACTTATTTGCTGAAGTACAGAAGAACAGATCTTTGGCCCTAGATAGTCTCTAAAATCAAATACTATTATAGAGCTCTTAAAGTTTATTTGAAATGCTTATAACTCAAAGCATATGAAATATATTTATATATTCATCAAATTTTCTTTCCAAAATTACTGGTAATCTGCCCT